AAAGAGGGATTTATTCTGGGGATGCAAGGCTGGTGTTATATTCCCAAGTCAATAAGTGTGATATGTCACATAAACAAAATGAAGGATAAAAATTACATAATCATATCGATAGGTGCCAAAAAAGCATTTGACAAAATCCAGCACCCATTTTTTATAAAAACTCAGCAAAGTGGGAATCATAACATTATAAAGGCCATATACGACAAACCTACATACAGCCAACATCATACTCACTGGGCAAAAACTAAGTGTTTCCCTTAAAAACAGGAACAAGACAGGAATGTCTGCTTTCACCACTCTAGTTCAACATAGTACTGGAAGTCCTAGCCACAGCAATCAGACAAGAAGAAAAAAAGGCATCCAAATTGGAAAAGAGCAAGTAAAATTGTCATTATCTGCAGATGATATTGTACATAGAAAATCCTAAAGACTCCATTTAAAAAACTACTAGAATTACTAAATGAATTTGGCAAAGTAGCAGGATACAAAATCAACATCCAGATGGCATTTTTATACACTAGTAATAAATAAACTAAAAGACAAAAAACAAAATCCACTTACCATTGCAGCAGCAACAACAAAAAAGATACCTTGGAATAAAAACCAAGGAGGTAAAAGACCTGTACTCAAACAACAGGACATTGAAAAAAGAAATAGAGAAAGACACAAACAGGTGGAAGCATATACCATGTTCATGGGCTGGAAGAATTAACATCATTAAAATGTCCATACTACCCAAAGCAATCTATAGATTCAATGCAATTCCTATTAATATTAAAATACCAATAGCATATTTCACAGATCTGGAACAAATATTCCAAAAATTTGTATGGAACCCAAAAAGACCCTGAATAGCCACAACAATGCTGAGAAAGAAGAACAAGGTTGGAGGGACCACAATACCAAATCTCAAACTATACCATACAAAATCCACTGTACTCAAAACTGCCTGGTACTGGCACAAGAAACCCCAGAAATTTACCCACATCTTTATGGTCAATTAATATTTGACAAAGGAGGCAAGAGCATACACTGGAGTAAAGACAGACTCTTCAATAAGTGATGTTGGGAAAATTGGACAGGTACATGCAAAAAGAAATAAAACTAGGTCAACCAACTTACACCATACACAAGAATAAACTCAAAATGGATAAAAGACTTAAATGTAGCCCAGCCAGCATTGCTCAGTGGTTGAGCATTGACCTATGAACCAGGAGGTCACAGTTCAATTCCTGGTCAGAGCACATGCCCAGATTGTGGGCTCGATTTCCAGTGAGGGGCGTTCAGGAGGCAGCCGATCAATGATTCTCTCTCATCATTATGTTTCTCTCTCTCTCCCTCTCCCTTCCTGTCTGAAAGAATAAGGGAAGAATCCAGAGAACCTTGCAGTCAGTGCTACTCGGGCTCCGGAAAGAGACCATCAGGAAGCTGGTTAGAAAGACAAGCCCAGGCAGCCCAGACCTGCCCGGTCAGAGTCGAGGGTGGGCTCAGGACCCAGGTCTGAACACGCTCTCCAGGTGGGTTCTACTCCTGCTTAAGTCCACAACCACTGTTGTTGGCAAGGCCGTGTGCCCAGACCTTGCTTAGTGGGCCGCAGTGGACGTCCCGCTGACCGGGGGTGAAAAGAGGACAATGTGTTAAGTTCTCATAGAAATCAAATGATGCCTGGTCCTTACTAGTTTTGCTTCGTGGCAATGTTTGTTTTCATTTTTTAAAAAGATGGGGACCACATAAATAAATATAAAAAGATGGGGACCAGAGACAGGAGTTTAAGGTCTTCTTAAATGCCCTTTCTTGCATAAGAAAAAGTTAGCAACCCAATGTCAGTCGCCAGATGTGTTTTTGAAATTTTCCTAATCCATGGAACCCTAAAGCCCAGGAGTGCTGAGCCATGGGATGGGGACAAGGGCCTTGGAGTGTGTGAAGTGGTGGGGAGAGGGCTTGGACCCCCAAGGGCAGGGCGGGGCTGGGGGGTTGGTGGGGAACTGCTCAGTGAATGTGAACGTGGAGAGGTGGCCAGGCCTGCACTCGGGAGAGGGATCTGGCAGAGCTTTGGGGGTTGCAGGTGGAGAGAATTTATGAGCAGCCGCTCTTTGCTCAGGGAGGCACGCTGCTGTTTACAGCACCTTGGGAAGCTTGCCTTGAGCGTTTTCAACCAAGTAACACCACGAAATGGCCAAATCCACCCTGCTCATAACCACAGCCGTCTGCCTGGCTGAACGCAATGCTTAAAACGTGACTCTCGCCCTGACCGGTTGCTCAGTGGTTAGAGCGCCAGGTTCCATTCCCGGTCAAGGGCATGTATCTGGGTTGTAGGTTCAGTGCCCTGGGATGTGGGTGGGAGGCAACCAATCAATGTGTCTCTCTCACATTGATGTTTCTCTCCCTCCCTCCCTTACACTCTTTCTAAAAATCAATGGAAAAAATAGCCTCAGGCCCTAACTGGTTTAGTGCAGTGGATAGAGCGTCGGCCTGCAGATTGAGGGGTCCCAGGTTCGATTCCGGTCAAGGGCACATGCCCAGGTTGCAGGCTCAATCCCCAGTAGGGGGTGTGCAGGAGGCAGCCAATCAAGATCAATTTCTCTCTCATCAGTGATGTTTCTATCTTTTTCTCCTTCTCCCTTCCTCTCTGAAATCAATAAAAATATATTTTAAAAATATATCCTCAGGTGAGGATAAAAAATACATCCTCAGCCTTAGCTGGTTTGGCTCAGTGGATAGAGCATCATCCTGCGGACTGAAGGGTCCCAGGTTCAATGCCGGCCAAGGGCACATGCCTGGGTTGTGGGCTCGATCCCCAGCCAATCAATGATTCTCTCTCATCAGAGATGTTTCTATCTCTCCCTCTCCCTTCCTCTCTGAAATCAATACAAATATATTTTAAAGATATATCCTCAGGTGAGGATAAAAAATATATTCTCAGATGCTAACTGCCAGCAAGTCTCCCCAGTGACAGACACACTCCCTGTGGCAGCCCCACGTAAACCACTGCCTTGGTCATAGCCATCGCCCACCTCGCCCTGCTCCCCTTTTATAGATGGTCTACCGTTAGGCAGTTGAGGTGATGGACCCACTAGATTGTAACATTTTACCACTGAATCCTTAATGCACACTGGCCTGAATTTAAGGAAACAGTTCATGCTCTGCCCTAGTTTTCTCCAGCCTGATCTTCCTGAATTTCACTGGATAAGAATGACTATTTCTGACAAAACTCCGTTTTTCCTCCTGGTGACCTGAAATTGGGTGGCCTTTCTGGGCTAGTGGTCCGGTACATCTGGGGACTATTTTGCCTGAAACTTATTCAGGGACTTTGTGTTCTTTGAACTTGGAAGGTTTGCACTGTTGCTGTACACACTGGCCTGGAAGTTCATGTTGGCGAGCTGGTGACAGTTTTACCTCCTCTCCAGGTGTCATTCATGGACTTTCCCATCGGAGGGTGCACATGCTGAAACAGTTTTGTTCATCTTGCAGGAGGGATGGGATGGACTTGATCCTTCACTAACCCCCCTTCCCCCTGCCCCATCAGTGTCCCAGAAATGCAGGGCTCCTGGGTGGGCTCAGCTGAGCAGCACCTAGAACAAAGACTGCTGATTCCATAAGGTGCCTGCACGGGTGTTCTGGTTCCCACTTCCACTCAGCCTCTTCCCCAGTGCTGCCAGCTACACACACTATCCCTAGTCTGGCTCAGGGTACACAGAAGCGAACAGGCGATCACCAGTCAGAGGCATAAATGTCGTGTTGGAAGTACAGGCTGTATACAGGGCTGGAGCCAATGAAGCCTATAGTAGCTGGACATATTGTATCTTTTATTTATTTTTTTTAATGTGTTTTTATTGATTTTTAGAGAGAGAGGAAGGGAGAGGGATAGAAACAAACTTCATTAATCGGCTGCCTCCTGCACACCCACTACTGGGAATTGAGCCCGCAACCCAGGCATGTGCCCTGACTGGAAGTTGAACCAATGACCTCTTGGTTCATGGGTCAGCACTCAACCACTGAGCCATACCAGCCGAGCATATGGTTTTTTAAAAAATATGTGTTTTTTACTTTTTAAAAACATGTTTTTTTATTGATTTCAGAGAGGAGAGGCGGGGGAGAGATAGAAACATCAATGATGGGCATCATTGATTGGCTGCCTCCTGCACGCCCCCTATAGGGGATCAAGCTGTGGGCAAGTGCCCTGTCCAGAATCCAAGGGTGACCTCCTCATTCACGGGTTGAGGCTCAACCACTGAGCAACTCGGGTCAGGCCTGGTTGCCTATATTTATCTGCTGTGTGATTCTTTTCTGCATGACCTCGGGTCCAGTAACGGTCCCAAGGAAGCTCCCATCTCCTAGCAACCTGTAACTGCCTTGCTCACCTCCCCTTTACAAAGTGTAAAGTAAACTGATGCACATTGTTGCTGAGGCCTGACGCTTGCCCTCACAGATAAACACTACTGTGCTCTTCATCTGGGGTTAATAGGTGGGGACAAGCTTTCCACCTCCAAGTGGAGGCTGCAAAACGTCAGTGAGAAAACATCCCTGTCATCATGTCACCAGGAGGTTCCACCAGGCTCATCTCCTTTACTTGTCACGGGAAGAACTAGCTTGCAGAGCAATTAGCATTTAATATTTCGTAATTAGCATGCTTAATGTGATTCTGAGAAGTGCCTTGACATTTTCATAAAAACAGAAAGCACATTCCCGCCCACCCTTCGAAGAGCAAGGCCCCGTTTGTTAAAAAACCGAGTGCCACTCTTTCTTGGTGCTGAATATGCATGTGTTGGCCTCTTCCCAGACACAGCTGGTAAATTTAGAAACTCGTTTTGAAAAGAGTTTCTTATTCAGCAGCCATATGCTCCCGGCTCAGGGAATCTAGCGGGAAATGGCTAAATCCAGCTCAAGTCGCTGGGCGGTGAGGGTCCTTTTCAAGTAAATAAAAACCCTCATGCGCCCCAGACAAACTACACACGCGGCTCAAGTCCAACAGGGAGCCGGATCTGAGGACAAATCGAGAAATGCATTTACTCTCGCTCCTGCGCAACAACATCACTCTTCGCGGGACAGGGTAGCCGCCAGCTTCCATTTCTCCAGCCCCACGGTAGGCGGGCGTCTCAGCGCTGGAAACTCCGCGCGCAGCCGAGATGTCATCTCAAGTTTCCCCTCCCGATCCCTCTGCGGCAGAGAACGGCCTCGGTACCACCCGGACCCAGGGAAGGGAGCAGGGGCCCAGAGGCTGCACCCC